TGACATCGTATAGTAATGTCAATGCAACATGGCAGTAATTAATTGGACTGTGATTTTTTATAACATCACTGTTGACATCGTATAGTATAACGGTATAAAACAATCTCCAATACTTTGCTTTCCTCCTCATTTATATGTGTACATTTATTTTCTACTATCTCCAATGCTTTGCTTTCCTTCCATCACTTGTATGTGTACATTTATTTTCTAGAAACTAAAAATGATAAAGCAACTTATAAAAGATTAATCAGATTCATTGGATAAAACACTCCACCTTTGAGATTTTATTTATTTAATTGCGTTTATTTTTTTAATTATAAAAGAAAAGATGATTTCATCTTCTCCAAACTAAATAAATAATAAAAGTAGGAAAATTAGTTTTTTTAATTAAAAAAAAAATAGTTTTCATTTTCCCAAAGTTATATGTATATATATAATATTAGGATTAAATTTTGGAATGAAAAAAATTTGGTTTGTGTGAACATGTTCGAGTTGTTATGATAGGTTGTTAATGAAAATATGTAATCACTAGATTATTCCTATTATACTTTCTTTGAGTTTTAATTTAAGTTTTATCGTTTGAAAAAAAAAAAATACAAACGTAGTTTAATTTTTAAAGTATAAAAATTGTAAATATATATGTATCACGTAAACACAATGGTTTAATTTTTAAAATATAAAAATTGTGTTATTTTTATGTATCAAGTAAATATGTAATGGTTTAATTTTTAAAACATAAAAGTTGTCTTCTTTCTTTGTATCAAGTAAATACAAACTGTCGAATACACGTTTGCCTTCAAACAGTTCGCTCCACAATAGTAATGCCACGTTACAAAAAAATTGGACCATGATAGAGTCCACTGAAGATAAAAATATGGAGACATTGTCTTCAATGATAACACGACATTCATTTTTTCCTTCAACAGTATGCATTGGAGATGCTCTAAACTGGTTTGAAAGGCATTTGAAAGGCATTTGTAGTGATGAAAGGCATCCATTTTATATCCACATAAAAGCCTCACATGGCCAACCCAGAAGTCGAAACACTAGGAGTAAAACAATGGTTCACAATACGATCTTCGAAATATAACACGACAAGACACGACTGGATACAACATAAGACCACATAGTGCAAATCTTTTGTATCCACGTGCTCTAAATCGACCCTTTATTGTCGATAGCGATCCATATATAGCCTAAATGCTTTTGCCAACTTTGGGGGGCCCACGTCCAAGCCACATCCAACGTGGCTTCTCTTGAAGGTATGGAACAACATGCTTTTTGATATCAACATCCGATATCTTAACATGACCGCCAGTCACCTTGATGAACTTGAGCCGTCCACTCTTATGCAAGACTTTCAAACCAATCCAATCCTCAAGGTATAACTTTGTCTGCATGTCGTGTGAAGTCGAAGAAAACTTGTTAGCATTTGTCTAAGAAAACTTGTCTGCATGTCGGGTGAAGTCGAAGAAAACTTATAAGCATTTGTCTACATTAATCGAGCCATGGTACACATGTATGTGCATGGCGGGTTATATATGATTGTGTTTGATATATAAGCATATGAGTTAGCTTATATCTTATTTGATTAGCTTATAAGTTTACTATAATCAAATTAGATTGGTTTGACATGACGGGCTTTTTTAAAAATATTGAGCTTATCTCATAAGCTTCCTTGGGTAGTTTTCAAATAAATTTTATTTTAGCTAGTTCATCAGGTAGTTTTATCGAGCATTTGTATCATATAAGCTAGCTTTTTCAGATAAGTTAGCTTATGAGATCGAAATTCACGTAAAATCCATAAAAGCTAGCTTATCAGCTAAGTTTACTAAACATAACCTATATGTAGCTTAGTACATCTTGTAGCGGCAAAATTTGTTTTGAATCTCCATCTGCGTAATATCCGAACAATGCACTTTCTTTGGGCTTCACTACACTGTCGTTTTCATTTCAATACGAAATTCGTCAGGCGGGTTAATCGTTGCTTATAGACGGGATTTCGTTCGTGAGGACGTTCATTGTTGAGCTTTGGGAGGATCCGACAACTTTTCAGGTACGACGGTATGCTCTGCCAAAAGTAAAAATGAAATTTTATTAAAATCTTCTGTTTTTATTTTTATTATCCAAAACTGACCTGTTTGCCAAGGGGAACAAACCATGAACTCCAATTACCATTTCCTATTTCTCTGCAATTAATCAGGTCAAAATGATAAAAGATTTTGACATATCCTTTCATATATATATAATAATAGCATTAAATAATTTATACTTAAAATTACTAAATTAAAAAGGTCAAAATGAAAATATTATATAACTTAAAATAGAAAATAAAATAAAATAAAATAAAATAAATAAATGAAAGTAGTAGCATACATACTGATAGGGCACATAGTAGTGGTATTGTAAACCGTCTTAGTGGGGCTCGGTCTAAGGGGGCTCGGTCTAAGAGGGTCCGTCTTTCTGGGGCTCGGCACAATGGGGCTCGGCCTTTTTATTTGTTGGGCTTGCGGTTCAACTGGAAAGTTTTATTGGTAGCGTGGCCCAAAGAAGCTCTATCTAATGATCTTATGGGGCTCGGATTTGTATGGGCCTAACATAGTGCCCATTGGGCTCAAACAGTTTAATGTGCAGACACCAAAGCGTGGGGAACAAGCCAAGTGGTCATTAATAAATAGGTAAAACCAGAAAAACAAGAGGTATGTCACAAAAAACAAACCCTAAAATCTATACTGCGCCTTTCTTGAGACCATACTAACTTGAGCGTCGGAGGTCTACCGCCGGGACACTTCCCGGCGTCTTTGCAGGTTTTCGGGGCTCGAGCGAAGAAGGATCAGGAAAGGCCGGTCGAGAGTGCAATAGCACATCAATTGGCGCCGTCTGTGGGGACTTACTTTTTTCTTC